TTCTTACAAATAAATATCGTGTTACCTCCTTTTTTATCGTATATTTCTATGAGTAAATATTCTTTTATACTTTAACTTGTACATCCTGGAAGTAACTATTTTTTAAGATGATTGGTTATACTGACATTTCTGTGGATGGTTTTATATAGTATAACATTCGGACTTTTATCTCTTATTTCTATTAATTAACCTTTAAAGATAAATAAAGCACTAATAGAATTATAGTATAAAAAACGTTTCGCGAGGCTTCTAGTTTAAAAATGGATGAAACGAAAGTTTTTTTGCTGTTGTTGTTGTTTCTTTTCAGGAACATCCAATACGAATTTACAAACTACAGACTCAGTCAATGATACCTTTAATTTTGGTCAACTACTGGGCATTCTTCGAAAGAAAAACCAGGGGGCGCAGAACGTCACAGAAATGGTAGGTTTCATTTATACCGTCAGATGGTTACTTGTACTATGTATTACGATGACTTTTGTTACGTAGTGAACACATTTTAACTTGCATGGCATTTTGTAGGGTTTGATTGTTGTTAAGCCTACACAGTAGGCTGTGTGCCTACGACGGGTAGAATAAGGAATGCTATAGTTGCTACATTTCGTAAGTCAGTAATTTTCTTTATGTTACGATATAATATATTTATATCTTATCGGACAGAACTACTACATTTTAGGTTTCAAACATAATAACTGGTTCAATAACTAGAGCGAAAAGGTTTATGGGAGTCGTGTGACGTCAGATTAGTTCAACAGGTTGTCTCAAGAGGACTCAAGAATAATCGCTGGACCTGTGGCAATATAAAGTGAAACATGATATTTTTTAATGCTCAGGATCATGTTTTTTTCTTCTTTTTTATTTTCGAATAAGAGTTCAGGGGAATAACTTTTTAATTTGTATTGTACATACATATATAATATGAAAAATCTGAATAGTTATTTATAATTTCAACAAGTTATTATATTCTTTGTCATTATAAACGCAAGTCCTGTTAAAACTTCACTATGAAGAATTGTATCAACATAATAATATGTCTGTTGGCGTTATTGTATTGTCTTCAACATAAAGAAGTAGATATGAAAAGAATGGTATTAATTATTATATCAGGAATCTGGCATCACGTGTGGGTGGTTCTGTTTCTTGTAACTAGAGGGCGCAGATATATTAACATAATTGAAACTTTAGTTTATATAATTTTAACTTTTAATATATAATCTGAAGTAAAATTTGAGTTATTTTTATTGTACAGTAACATTTTGTATTGCTGTTTTTTTTATATTGTCCATTGTAAATAGTTTTAAAGATCTTGGTTTGCTCACAATATCACCCACAGGTGGCGGAACAATCAGGGCAGTATTTGTGAAACTATCACATTGTTTGTTTTGTTGAATTTCGCGTAGAACTACTCAATGGGTATCTGCGATAGCCATTTCCAATTTAGAAGTGATAGACCAGAGAGGCAGCCAGTCAACAAACATTCACCAGTAACTCTTGGGCTACTCTTTTTACCAACGAAAAAATGGGATTCACCATCACATTATAACATTCCCACGGCTGAAAGGTGCAAGCATATTGGGTGATTAAATTCGAACCCGCAATCCATGTCAGGCCTGTTCTGTTATTGTTTGAAGTTCTGACTATCAATAAATGTTGATTTCAATAGTTTATTGTTCCCCCCGTGGCACAGGGGTATGTCCGTGGACTTACAAGGCTAGAAACCAGGTTTCGATACCCATGCTGAGCAGAGCACAGATAGCCCATTGTGTAGCTTTTTGTTTAATTAAAAACAAACAAAAACAGTCGGTTTTTCAAGAAGAATTTGACAAAACTGACATTTAGAAGAAAATTAACAAGATTTTGAAATAGTGAACCAAATCTAACCTTTAGGTACGGTATTTCAATTTGAATAGCATCTTATACGACCCATGGTCTAAGCGGCCAGATCAGATAACTCAAGGATCAGACATAGTAGTCCTCAACTTAAAACTGCTATCCAGAAGTAGGCCAATAATGAGCACCATCAACCACGTAGACGATTACACTTAACTGAATAGTGTCACTTGTATAACACGGAACGTTATGAACCTGACCTGCAATATATTGTTAAGTTGACCCTTGGCCGTTTTAATACGCTGTCCAGGGGTTTGTTTATCTTTTTGAACCAAATCATAGAATTGACCACCATTTTGATAAAGAATTCCAGCTGAAATAGTGGATCTTGTTCAGCGGCTTGTGGAACCTTGGACCTCCAGTTCATAACCATTTCAGTCAAATTCCCTGTTACGAAGTCAACAGTGTACAACTGCTTTAGCTATCCTACTTAGCTGAAAGTGTTGTCCAAGCTTGTAAAAACAACAACAAATAGTTACAAGAAACAAGGCGCTAAGTCGAAATTTCTTGCAAGATAGAGATTTACTGCTCTTCAGAACTTTTAAATTCCAGTGAGGAAAAAAAAATTTTTAATGCCCTGACTTTGGCAGATAATGAGTGAGTACAATATTCCTTGTCTTCTTTAATAGCACTTTTTGTGGGTATGTTGCACACCACCTGTCGTTAAAAAACACAACAACATGTTATATTACTAGCAGTGGTCAGATATTGACCTATCAAATGATCATCTGTCGGTCACAATTTACTTTTTTTCCAAGGAAATACATTTCCAAGGTTATTTCTTAATATGCACAACTTACAATTATTCGTTAGACAATTGTTAATTTAGTTGAAAGTAAAATATTACCACCAATGTCTTGGCATCCGTAAAGAAAGAATCAAAGAGTTTGTGACTGTTGTAAATTTATTATACAATTAGATGTACAATACAATACCACATAGCATACACAGTCTTCAGTATATATATTTGTAAGCTTTAACATTTTATAAACCAGTAATTTCAGCTCCTAAAAACTCGTACTTTAATTGAACTACTTCTCCTCAATATTTTAATCTTAAAATGACAGTGATCTCTCTAAGAGAAAGCAAGTAATTCAAATATATTTTCACTACTACCTCACCCGTTTGATACACGTGCTTGTGTAGATACAGATCGACAGTTTCTTTTATATATATATATATGTAGGTAACTCAAGTATGAACAACAACATTTGGATCACTTACGTTTCTTTGCCCAAACCATTAGTGTTAGAGGATCAACGAATAGGTTTAGCAAACAACAGGGAAGGATATTGATAATTCTCTTAAGATTTTGTTTT